GCCCGACAGAACAGCCACAGAGGTAGCCTCCGGAAGAGAGGCCGGTTCGGGAGACCATCCATATGATAGTGGAAGGTTCGATCGTTGTGGGTTGTACTTCAGCAGCAGCTCGGACGTCAGTTCGTGAGGCCGCCCGGGAAGAACAGAATCCTCCAAAGCGGTCAAGGACAGAAGAGCCAATTTTCTTCACAGAAGATGATGCGCGAGGGGTCCACTACCCCCACGATGACGCACTCGTAATAAAGCTGAGAATCAACAACTTCGAGGTCAGGTGCGTAATCGTTGACTCGGGCAGCTCGGCCGACATCCTCTTCAAAGCTGCGTTCGACCAGCTTTAGTTGTAGAGAAGTGACCTGAAGCCTACGGGCACTCCTTTGGTGGGCTTCAGCGGAGAAGAAGTCTGGCCCCTTGGGAAAATAACAGTACTTGTGGAAGTCGGCACATGGCGTTGCGTAGTTAGATTCAAACACGACTTCCTGGTGGTCGCGACCCCCTCCCCATACAATGCCATAATAGGCCAGCTGATCACCCATGTCCTATGGGCGGTGGTTTCCACATATCGTTTGGCTATGAAGTTCCCAACAGACTTCGGTGTGGGGTAGCATGGGGCGACCAGCTCGAGTCCCGCAAGTGCTATGTCGCCACCCTGAAGGAAAAGACTAAGGTAGCCGACAACCTCGAACTGGAGCGGCCTACGGAGCAAGGTGAAGAATGAGCCGTGCCCACGGAAGAAATAGTCGCAGTCCCGACCTCAGCAACCGACCCAACTCAAATGCTTCAGATCGGTGCTTCCGTCCAGGAACCTCTGCGATCCGAATTGGTAAGCTTCTTACTTCAAAATTTAGATATTTTTGCATGGTCCGCGACAGAGATGCCCGGTATAGACCCTGAACTTATAACTCACAAGCTGAATACTGATCCTGTAGTTAGGCCCGTTAGATAGAAGAAATACAACCTAGCCCCGGAGCGGTGGAAAGCGGTCGACGAGGAGGTCAAGAAGCTCCCCGTAGCTGACTTCATAAGAGAAGTCCACTACCCTAGTTGGGTAGCCAACCCTGTCCTAGTAAAGAAGGCCAACGGCAAGTGGCGCATGTGCGTCGACTACACCGACCTAAACCGGGCTTACCCAAAAGACTGCTTCCTGCTCCCCAGAATTGACCGCTTGGTGGACGCGACCTCAGGGCATGAGTTGCTAAGTTTCTTGGACGCCTATTCGGGCTATAACCAAATCAAGATGGACCCAACGGACGAATAAAAGACTGCCTTCATCATGGAGTTCGGTCTATACTGTTACAAGTTTATGCCCTTCGGGTTGAAAAACGCAGGGGCAACCTTCCAAAGAGTTGTAAATAAGTTGTTTGCACCATTAATTGACAGAAAAGTAGAATGCTATGTAAACGACAAGGTTGTCAAAACTCAATTTTCGCATGAATTAATACAAGACTTGCATTATGTTTTCAAAATTTTGCGTAAGTTTAATATGAGACTAAACCCAAACAAGTGTGTATTCAGTGTGACCTCGGGCAAGTTCCTAGGATACATCGTTAACCGGCGTGGCATTGAGGCCAACCCGAACAAAATTAAGGCCATCTTAGATATGAGACCACCCCGGAAGTTGAAGGAGGTTCAGAGGTTGAATGGCCGCATAGCTGCCCTGAGTCGCTTCATGTCCAAATCGGCAGACCGTTGTCTGCCGTTCTTTAAGGTAATCAAGAGAAAAGGGTTCGAATGGACCCAAGACTGTCAGCTCGCGTTTGATGAGCTCAAGAAATACCTCGCTAGTGTGTCGATCTTAACCCGGCCCGAGGAGGGCGATATTTTAGAACTGTACCTCTCGGCAAGCGACGAAGTGGTTAGTTCAGTACTAATAAAAGAAATAGATCGGGTTCAACGACCCATCTATTATGTTAGTAAAGTATTGCAGGGAGCAGAGACGAGTTACGCAGAGATAGAAAAGCTAGCATACGCACTAGTAATTGCAGCTCAGAAGCTCCGCCCGTACTTCCAGGCTCACACTGTTATCGTTCTCACTGACAAGCCTCTGAGGCAAATCTTACTTAAGCCCGAGGTCTCTGGTCGGTTGACGAAGTGGGCCGTTGAGCTCAACGAGTAAGACCTCCAATACAAGACGCAAACTGCCATTAAGGCCCAAGCCTTAGCAGATTTCATCGCCGAGTGCACATTCAGCTCGGAAGTCCCCAGGCCGGTTGAGCACGAGGCTCCCAGTTCAGGTGAGCCCGAAGCTCCCAAGCGGGTCGAGTCCGAGCCCCGTGAGGTAGCAGCCAGTGTGGCATCTCTCCTAGTCCGGCCAAGCGCGAGCTAGGATGAGGAGCCCTGGATCCTTCACGTAGATGGCGCCTCGAACCAACAGGGCAGCGGAGCCGGTATAGTTTTGCATGATCCAAGTGGCACAAAACTGGAATACGCGCTACGCTTCGAGTTCATGGCATCTAACAATGAAGCGGAGTACGAGGCGTTGATAGCTGGACTAGCTCTAGCCAGAGAAGTAAAAGCAAAGCACATCATTATCTGCAGCGACTCCTAGCTCGTGGTCAACTAGGTCACCGGCGAGTACGAAGCTCGTGAGCCGACCATGATCGCCTACTTAGCCAAAGTCAGAGAGGCCCTACTCAACTTCCAGTCACACTTTTTCAGGCAAATCCCAAGGGCGAAGAACACTAAGGCTGACGCCCTGTCCAGATTAGCCAGCGCCAGCGACATCACCATGAGAACCGTGTACATAGAGGGCTTGCCTCGGCCTAGCATTCCCGAGGGGGTAGAGGAGGTCACTCCCGTCGTTCAAGCAGAGTCGAGCTGGATTGACCCGCTCACGAGCTTCTTGCTACACGGGATTGTCCCTGCAGATTGCAATGTAGCCAGAAGGGTGCAGCGCCAAGCAGCCAAATATGTTATGATAGACGAACGACTATACCGGAGATCTTACACGCTCCCCTACCTGTGTTGCTTGCGACCTACCGAAGCTGAGCTCGTACTTCGCGACACTCATGAGGGATTGTGTGGCGGACACTTGGGGGGCAGGGCCCTTGCCCAGAAGGCACTTCAACAGGGGTATTATTGGCCAACAATGAAGACAAATGCTATTGAGCTCGTTAGGAAATGTGACAAATGCCAGAGATATGCCAATATTCACTACTAACCTGTTGCTAACCTCAAGTATCTCACCAGCCCGTGGCCCTTTGCAGAATGGGGCATTGATCTACTCGGGCCATTCCTGCCAGCAACGGGTGGGAGGAAGTTCTTAGTAGTAGCAGTGGACTACTTCACCAAGTGGGTAGAAGCTGAACCCCTTGTAACGCAGAGTGTCCAAAACTTCTTTTGGAAGAACAACGTGTGCCGCTTCGGGTTACCTCGGGTATTGATTTCTGACAACGACAAGCAGTTCGAAGACATCAAATTCCAAGACTGGTGCCAAGACATGGGAATCCGACAGAATTTTACTTTAGTCGCACACCCTCAAGCAAACAGTCAGGCAAAAGTCACGAACAGAGTGAAGGCACGGCTGGACCGAGCTAAAGGGTTGTGGGCAGATGAGTTACCCAATGTTCTATGGGCCTACCGGACCACGGAGAAGACTTCCACTAGAGAAACACCCTTCAACCTCACCTATGGCACCGAAGCAGTCATCCCCGCAAAGACGAAGTCCCTACACTGCGACTAGAAGCATACAGTGATCAGACGAACGAAGATGAGCTGTGTACCAACCTCGATCTACTCGACGAAGTAAGGGACCTCGCGTACATCAGGACCGCAACCTACCAGCAGAGAGTAGCTAGGTACTATAACGCCAGGGTCAAGAAGCGGAACCTTCGCGTTGGCGACCTGGTCCTTCGTAAAGTTATGGTACCTGAGCCCGGCGCTGGCAAGCTCGGGTCCAACTGGGAAGGTCCTTACCGAGTGAAACGAGTGCTCGGGGAAGGAACGTACGAGCTCGAGACCCTCGAAGGGAAACAGTTCAGAGTAAGACAACCACTTCAGCAAGTAAAAGAAAATTGCACAAGTGTTTGGCAAAGCGAATTTTTCACTATGAAGATTTCAATACAAAGCTTTTGTTACAAGAGAAAGAGAAAGAGAAGACTAAGCCTATAAATACAAGGACCGAGCTATTTCGGAGGCTCGTCGTCTTTGTCAGGTACTCCCTCGAGGGCAATAACGGGACCAGTAGCCACTACATCATCAGTGATCTGGGAAGTAGTGATGGCGCTGGTACCCAGATCGGGGTAGAGGTGCCTGATCAGCCACCGGCTGAGCTTGAAGCCCTTGCGGTAAGCTTCAGTCATCTCATCGTCAAACTTCGATGACTAAACATAATCAATGATGGCCTGCACTTTGGTCTTCTCGAGGGCGTCCTCAAAAATCACCATCTTCTCCTTGATCTTAGCTCAGAGGGACTCCACCTCTTGCTCTAACTTTCCTTTGGCCTTTTTAAGGCCCTGCAACTCAAGCTTCAGAGCATCCCAATCTGCCCTAAGTTTATCCCGATCCACCCTGAGGCTGTCCCGGTCTGCCTTGAGGCTGTCTATCTCCAGCCTCAGTGCTTCCTGACTAACCTTGAACCGTTCACTTCGACCCTCAGTCTATCCATGTCTCGGGCCAACTCGTTCTTCTCCGCCAACAGCACCTCAATAAAGCTCTTCTGAGCTGAGGCATCGTTCTGAAGGCGATGGATCTGACCCGAGCTGTCCTTAGTTCAGTATGGGCTTCACGGAATGACTTCTCGGCTTCTAGAGCCCATCTCAGGTGCCGGTCAGACTAGAAGGTCAAGGCATGTACGACAGAGTTCAGCTACAAGAAGGCAAGACCAGTCAGTAAAAAAAAAAGAAGAAGAAGAAAGGAGAAGGGGAGAATCTTTCACAGGAAACTCACCACCATGGTATGAGAAGCAGCCCAGGCACCGAGCTGACAAGGAGTGAGTTCAACCCATTCCATGACCTCCTCCAGGTACGTGGCCTCCTTGCTCTTCTAGAGACTACACCGGGGGTTCAGAATACTTTCACCCCCTGACTCTTCGAGCTAGACGTCGTCATCTCTACCGCATGGGCGGACTCCTCGGAAGCTTCGGCAGCAGCATCAGCAGGGCACGCCTTGGCTGCAGTCTCCGCAAGGTGTACCCCAGGAGCGGCTCCTGTGTCACCCCTAGTGACGGTCTTGGCAGGCTCTGTGGTAGGCTCTGCCGCCATCTCGGGGCCCTGAGGTGTCATGTCCTCCTCCAACTCGATGACAGGGTGAGGAGGGGGGAGCTCAGGCTCTGGCGCCGGGGCTTGTGAAGGTTGGGCCTCGGCGGAGGCCTGTGGCGATTCAACGCGAGCCTTCTTGGCTAAGCACTTCTTCCTCTTCATTTGACGAAAGAGTCTTTGACCATCAATCTTCTCTGCCTCCATGGGACCTGCAGTGAAGCTCAGCATTAGTAATCCCGAAAGTAAATATATGAACAGAAAAGCCAAAGTGAAGAAAAACCTACCCGGGCTCAAGCCAGCCTGGATGAGCTTCTCCTCGGATGTGAAGTCGTTATAATTCAACCCGAGCTGAGCCAGTGACTGGAGCACCTTCTTGGTCTTCCCGTCTAGGATGACACCGGGGTCTTGAACGGCCACCCTCCAATCAGTGGGGAAGGGCCACCCCGTGCTGCTCCGAACTACGAAGTAGTCCCGCTTCCAGGCTAGGACTTTACTCGGGWGCTTGTGCATGAGTTTGAAACCCGGGCGAGGAGACAGGTAGTAAGACCGTTTGTGCCCAGGGAGAGCGCCCGAAGCACTCTTCTTTATGGCCAAAATTGTACTAAGAATATCTAAGTCTATGGAGAGAGAACGGTCAAAGAAAAGAGAAATGGGCCCCACCACATTCTGTATGGAGTTCAGGTGGAGTTGGTCTAGAGTGATCTTAAAGTCTACCGGCGCCTCAACAATCAAAGGGTGAAGAGGAAGTCGGAGTCTGACTACCAATTGCTCCCTAAAGATCACGATCTCGTCAGGACCATGCTCCCATGGAAAGTTGCCGGTGGGAAGGCTATATGAGTATTCCCTAGGGAGGTTGAACTTCTGTATGAGGTCCTGAAGCCTCTCCGAAGTCATTGTAGAAGGGACAAACTGATCTAGCTCCCAACCTCGGTGGGAGGTGGACGCTAGATGACCCGAAGTCGCCCGTACATCGGACGACTGGGCGGCAGAGGAGCCGCCCTGAGCTGAGGTACCCACCTCGGGCTCGTCAATTAGGCTATCTACGCTAGACGACATAACGAAGCAAATGGGGAAGGATACTCAAAAAAGAAAGAGGAGCTCGGGGACTCACCACAGGAAATGCAAACTGACCAGAGGAACGAACCGAGCTAGAAGACCCGAGCTAGGAACCCCAAACGCGAGCTCAACTTTGATGCTGGAAACTTTGTGACGAAGAAATGGCCAAGGGTCCCCAACTATTTATAGCCGTTGTGTCCAAGCATCAACGGTCGCGATCAGGACGATCCAACGGCTCTCAGAAAAACCGGCTACGGGTTCCTCGAGGTGAAATCAGTTTAGTGCGTTTTTTCGCGTCCGTGAAGTCCGAATAGCGTGACATCCGCGCATAAATTGGACGCGACCTGAGTCCCTTCTAACTGAATCGAAAACTAGACCGGTCCAGCAGGATGGAATGCGTGACGAAGCGGCAAAAGTGCCGAAGCCAAATCCAACCGGCGCGACATGAACTCCCCGTGCTGGGTCAACACCGCCAGCACAGGGAGTGGGGGCAATTGATGGAGGGTGATATGGCCCGACCTTGTAGCATGGGTACACGTGTGCGTGACCTTGCTAAAGCAGTGACTCAGCGCGACAGCACAGTAGGCACAGCCGCAGCTCAGAGGGAAGGTTCCACCGATTTCTGTTCGACAACTTGGTAGAATAGACTACTCGCCGGGAGCCGCCTGGCCTGTACCACCATTCCGGGGGCTAAGGTACCCAGAGCTACCTCCGAGCTCGGGGCCCCCTGACCTTTCCAAATACCCGAGCTCCTCCCAGTGGATCTCGGGCCACCCCTAGACAGGAACACACCGATCCGCCTATAGGCATCCCGAGGTGAAGACACCTCGAGCCAGACAGCTCGGCTTAGCTTGCCCTAGGCAGCTCACCGCTTACGAGATAGCCCGACACAGGGTAACTCGCGGAAGGGTAGTTCGGCATATCGCAGGGAGACCGCCTGCCTGACCACCGTACCCGACAAATCTGGAGGCAGCAGCCATATCCCTCGTCAGACAGCGTCGTGTCTGCCATCTTCAGAAGGTGCCTTACACCAGACAAGCACGTACCCTGCAACGACGGTCCCGCACGTGCCACCTCAGCCCTACCGCGACAGGCTGACAGTGGCGGTTATACCTGCCCTGTCAGAGGCCTGTGGGCCGGATGTAACGGATTTCTGCTACAAGGAGTTTAATATCAAGGAGGACAGGTATGATCAGGATA